GAAAATCTTGAAAAGGCTCCGCTGTTTGGGCTTCCATGCTAGTTCAAGTGGGGGGCGAGGGGGGTTCGGGCTTCAACTTCCGAGATGAACTGTTTAGGGATAGGGCGGATAGGGTTTTGGGGGCACCATGCCTTGGGTACGACAGTATATGGCTTCGCAAAAAGTTACTCGGCTAGAGCGTTCCGTGTGTGTATGTGTCGCCCGAGATGCTTTCTCCTGCAAGTCTTGCAGCAGAGACACCAACCATCCTCGTCTATGGCACTTACAGCACTTATTGGGAAAGGACAGGATGAGACCCGGCCCTAAACCTCAAACGACCTCGGCAAATTCAGCGAGACATCAGCTATGAGCCTTGGCCGAGGTTTCCGACAGCCCCCGAAGCGGCCGAAGCGAACGGTCGCCGAGCTGCAGATTGAGCTTGCGAGCTTTGATTTCCACAACGTAGCAGCCTCCATGACGTGCACTACTCCTCCCCAAACATCCCGAATCCGGTTGTTATCATGTTTGTGAGACGACGGGCTAGCAGTGTCAGCACTGGTGGCCATGAAAGTTGCGAAGGATCCATGATCAAACCCGAACACACGAAAAGCCCGAAACCTGTAAGCCCTGGACCCTGAAGCCCTGAACCCATTGCTCGGCAAAAAAAGGATCGCATTGCTTAGTAGAAAGTGGTCCGTTAACAAGCAAGGAAGCTAATAAGAACTCTTACCGAGGCCTGCGCATGTCACCAAACGGCGGGTTTCTGCTTTGATGTGCCAGCCCTTTGCCCGATTTAGGGCTTTGCCGAAGTGCCAAAGAAGAAGGGTCCGGGTAGAGCGATGTTGAGGGGAAGGGTCGGATTTGGGGGTGTATGAAGGTTGGTGCATGTGGAGCTTGGGGGTGTAAGGGTGTTGTTTTGGGGAGACTTCGGGATCCCGCATGGGTGAGCGACGAGGTAAGGATCGTGGCACTTAGGGTCCACATAAAGTTTTCCTATCACTGTCTATAAGTCCAAAGGTTGCCCAGAAGTGGGTCCCACGGTTTGGGGCTATGTATGACTTGATGTTTAGGGTGAAGAGCCATGCTGAGTCGTGCGGAGTGGTAGTGGGAGTGGTAGTTGTATAGCCGTGGTCGTAGTAGCATGAGTAGTAACTAGTACTTGTCGTCGTCATCGTCGTCGTAGTGTAGTAGAGCAGTAGTCTTGAGCGAGGTTTGGGTCTGTTTGGGTTTAGCATGGGCGACATCAAACTACAACGCAGCCAAACTGCTTGCATGAAAGCTGCTCGGACTCCCTTTTTCCTTAAACCCTAAACCCTAAAATAGGCTCCTAGCCAGGCAAAAGGAGGGCTTGCGCGAAGTCGACGCGGACTCCGTCGCAGAAGCACTCATCGAGAACAAGGACGTTGGACCTGTGGGATCTATCTGTTGCATCTGAGTTTTATAGAAAGCAGTGAAGATCCATGGGAGTCTCTATGGGAGTTACAGAGCTGGTTAGCTGTTTTTGGCCGTTGCCCTCTTCGGCACATGTCGTGACAGTTGCATGTGGTTTCCCAAACGGTCCAAGTAGCAATATAGCAAGTACTTAGTAGATATTTGGGCCCCAAGGTATATACTATACTATACTACTACTTAGAGCCTTTGGGTTTGAAAGTTGTGGTGACATCTTCCCATCGAGCAGAGCCGGGGAGCAGTGGAGAGGTTCCGTTCCCTTCCCGCCCGACCCTTCATGTAATATAGGAGTCATAGAAGCCTGAATAATTGGTCTTACAGCTTCTTAGCAACCCTCCACATTCGCACGTGCTGCGCAGTTCTTAAATGCTGAAACTGTAAACATCGCAGTGACCCACAGGAGACGAAGAAGCTAGCGCGGGCGAGGACAACGAAGGAGAAGCTTCAAGATCTCGTGCCACAAGCATCTCTGAAGGCATTAAGTACCGGTCAATCATTACCACCATTAGTGTTTATCTTGCATGTTTTTGTGGGGTTATTAGTTTAGGGTTTAGGGGCTTTGAACCTTGGGGGAATTAGAGTTCAAGCTTTTGACGGTTAAGAATCGCAGCATGTTCTCCTCGGTACATCCACCGTTTGAAGAGAGTCGGCTTCGGGTGTAGGGATTAGACCCTCATGCGGGCTCAGGGATTAAACCCTAAACCATAAGCCATAAGCCCTAAACCCAAACCCTCAGATCCGACTTGGGTTTAGGCTTTAGGGCTTCGGTGACACTTACAAGGCCAGGGCCACTCTTGCGGCCGTCGGACTTGTGGAAGGTGACTAAACCATATGCTGCGAGCTTGGGCTAACACAAGAGCAGCCCAGATTCTCGTCCCCAAGTTTCAGGAGACGTGTAGGCTTGACGGTTTAGGGCTTATGCTCTGTGTGTGGGTTGTTATTGTTTAGAGCACCCGAAAGCCTGTTCCTCTGCGTGTCTGCCATGTCGCTCGATTGGACACTCGGACAACTAGTGTCACCTTACCATTGCCAATAGTCACATACGGAGGTTGGAGGGGTTAGTGAAGTGATTCCAGAGGGTTCCTTCTATTTCAAACGTATTACGAGATATCCCAGAACCCTATTCTAACTATTAAGGCCCCTATATTGGTGCTTTCACTGCTCTTGTGGCTTGGCTCACCATCTCTTTTCCTGAGACTCTTGCTGTTATCTACCCTAAACCGCCCTGAAGCCCAAAACCCTAAACCTAGTAGCTATAGCTACAGATGAGCCGTCAATGAACCCCTAAACCCCGGACCGCGTGCACTCCCAAAGCTCTGAGAACGTGCAAGACGTGAACTCGGGCTCTTCTATCGACGTCGATGAGGAGCTTCCGACTGAGGGCTCGGAGCTCTAGAGGTTTAGGACTGAGGGTTTAGGGTTTAGGACTGAGGGTTTAGGGATGAGGAGCTGTCGACTTGGCGTTTTCCGGCTTTAGATTTGTGGTTTGGGGTTTAATTTATTGATCGGAATCATCAGTGATCAGATTCTCGTGGAGACCCTTACATAATTCCGATAGAATACCACCCAAAACAACCTGCTCCAGTTAGGGAGGCCCCTACTTTACAGGCTCTGGGGTATAGTGAGGGAGGAGCTTCCGACCTTCCTTTTCCACGTTCGTATGCTGTAGCTTTGGGCTCAAGACTCGGAAAAGGACGATGGGCTTCAGGGAATTGGAAGTCGGGGGTTCGAAGCCTTGGGGCTGAAGGGTTTTAAGGCCTTAGGGCCTTAGGGTTTAGGAGTTTAGGGTTTTGGGGGTTTCGGGATTAGGCTCTCGAAATTGGGGCTTGAGTTTGCGGCTTGTTTGTTAGGTTGGTGTCGGGCGGTTGCGGGCACAGGGGGACACTTGCGAGGTGGATTAACTTCCAAGCCTGCTTTGTTTGCTATTGTACTCTGGCATGTCATGTTTTGGACAAGTATAATAACAATATGACAATTTAGCCATGTTCCGATATGTAGCCCGTGAACCAACAACTTTAAACTCCCTAAATTTCGGACATGCCTCGGGACAAGGGGCTGAGGCGGCTGAGTGTGGGGTTCACTGGGAAACCTTTTTCCATTGATGCAAGCCGGTACAACCTTCAACCCGAACCCTGAACCCTAAACCTAAGCCATCCCGTGGAAATCCTCACGAGCTCTACCTTCAGAACCCGAAACCCTCTAAGACACGGGACCCCAACCGCTTCATCGGGGATGTCGGCTCTTTAGGTGCATGATGCCTCAATAGACTTTTGGGAGGTTAGAAGGGTTAGGGCTTACAGTGGAGGGTTGATGGAGGACACGCCCCGGCCCCGGCGCAGCCTCTTCCAGCGAACCGAAGAATTCCTCCAATCGAACCGGTATGCCACTCGGCTTCCCTTGCTCAGAACACGTCATTGTAGTCTGACTTGCGTTTGTCGTTGTACCGGCAGTGGTAGGCAGTCCAGTGACTAGTAGTACCAGTGCTCGCACTAGTGCGTACTCGTAGGGGTCTTAGTATTCGTAGTAGTAGGAGGAGGAGGAATCTTGCAATAAAGCAATATTATAGTACAAGGTGTTTAGTGTAAGATGTCACGTTCTTGTGTCACCGCTGTCGCATCAAGCTTGTGCGCAGCAGCTGTTTTCACTTGCGGCATGTTGTGGGCTCGTGTCTTTTTCCGACAGAAACCGTAGTAGAAGCCCGTGAAGCCCTCAAAACTAATCCAGCAGCCCTAAGCCCTAGACCCCAGAACCCCTGAACTGAATCCTAAGCCCTAAACCCTAATCCCAAGCATGCAGCCTTCTCGTAGATCCGAGCTGAGGAAATTGTGATCGCCCTCTTGCTGTCCATCAATGTGTCGCGGCAGGGGAGATCTCCAGTTTGAACCCCATGTGTTTTTAAAACCTACGTACATCCTTAATAAGGGTTGCTTCTGAAACACGCAGCGCATGTTGTGGTGATCATGGTACGACAGGATGATGCGACTGTGTGGTGCCTGTTTGCTGCATACTGACAGTTTGAGTAGTACTACAGCCTCATCAAGAGCTGCATTCCAGCATCTTCCACAAAAGCTACACCCCAAAGCCTATGCCCTCTGAGATAATAATTGAAATAACAATAGTAATAATAATAATAATATTTGAATAGTAAGAATAGTAATAATAATGCATGTACAGCCTGAGTAACACAACTGGCCCTTGGTCTCCTGAAATTGGTCCCAGGGTTCCGGCGGTTTGAGGTCTGTGGTTCGGGTTCTTGTCGGGGTTTGGAGGCTTCGAACTTTAGGTGAAGGGTTTGGTGGCTTTGAATTTTGATCTCTTCCGGTTTAGGCGGTTGGAGTTCTTATATAGGGATTTTTGGATTTGGTGTCTTTAGTCTTGGGGTTTGGGCCGTAGGGTGTGACATTTCAGGGTTCAGCGTAGTCTTGGACCCTCCGTCTACAGGCTGTGGCATGAGTTGCAGGGTTCAGGGGCCGGGAAGTTTAGGGTTGAGGGTTTAGTTTTGATTGACTTGAAGGCTTAAACCCCCCCGCCCCTGCCCTGAACCCTTGATCAGAGCACCTGAGGTGTTATGGATGGCTGTAGAGCTGCAGCTCTCGGGCACACTTGTGGGATACGCCACTCTGCAGTTCTTCAGGTTGTGTGGCATGTAGATTTCAGGGGTTTAGGGCTTACAGGGTCCAGGGCCCAGGGTTGGGGCTAGCGGGTAATTAGTTTTCAGGCCGCAGATATGGTTGAAGGCTTAGGGGTCGATACCCTTCTGCCTTGAACTTCACGCTTGCTGTGGACTTGAGGCGCCAGGTTTGAAAGGAGCGGTTGCCCAGACAGCGGAGCATGTGTCTGACGCAGTTCCTGTAAGCAGGGTTGCACAGCGAGGGAAGCTGGGTTGAAGGGAATCCTGCCCGACGAAGACTGGACACAAGAAGACATGTTTGCGACCGGTAGGCAAAGATTCATAAACAATGTTTGCGGCCAGCGCAAGACGACAACATCGCGAGCAGTGCTGTGGACCAGGCTAATTTCACTTGTTCTCTCATCTTGTTTCACGAGAATATGTTCGTATAATATCTAGTATGAATGTATGTATGAATGTATGTATGTATGTATGTATGTATGTACTTATGTATGTATGTATGTATGTATGTATGTATACAATCCCTTCTCCCTAATATTAAACGCCCCCGCCTCCCTAATACAAAAACTCAGATCCGGCGATTTCGTTTTTATATTAGGGGGCTTTCGGCAGGAATAATTTGTGAGCCAGACACAACAGCCGTTCAATCACGCAGCGGTTCCGGCTGTAGTAGCAGACAGTCAGCCTACCTCGTTTGGGCAGACCTCCGAACCAGTCAGCGACTGATGCAAAGAAAAGCGAGGAAGGGAGGGAGGGAGGGAGGGAGGGAGGGTAGACAGCCAGTCCGAATAACAACACCCCAAATATTAAAACTCCAAGCCCTGAACGCCTAACTGCTTTAGCCAAACCTCTTGATTAATTAACCCTGTAATTGGCCCTACACCTTAAGCCCCTAAACCCTAAAGCCACAAACCCGAAGAATTAACCCCTAATTAAAGCCTTAATTAACCCTAAAACCCTAAGCCCTGAGCCCTAAACCCTACAGGCCTGGTCCTTTCGGTTTAGTACTNNACTGCTGTAGTCTTGGCTCTATTCAACTAACTAGTACAATCCTAGCCCCCCCCCCTAACGTTACAATGTTTTTGATTAACTTTCAATTGTGGGCCCGAAACCGCAAAATTTCGGGGGCCGGCAGGTTATGTATGTATGTATGTATGTATGTATGTATGTATGCTTGTGTGTATGTATGCATGTATGTATGTTTTTCAGAGTATCATAGCATAATACAACTGAATGTAACATAAATAGAACAAATCAATTTATAGTATAGTACTTCCACCATACAATAATTCGCTATAATGTAATATAATATATTATCATATGGTATGGTAAAATATGATATAGCAGCAATATAGCATAGTACAATATGACATAAGACAAGATAGCAAGATAGCAAACAATATGTATGTATATATATATAGATCAAACAAAAATATAATAATATATACCATAATACAGTATAAAATGATATGACATAATATAATATTGTATAATGTAATCTAACCGAATATAATGTAATATAACTTATTAGCCTTATTATGCTCCCAAACTTTGCAACTGCTGTCCCGAAGCCATGAAAGTCCAAGGACTTGGGGTTTTACAAAGAGACGTTCATGAATAACAACGACTGGCGCAGTCGACAGGACAGCGTCTCGGGAAGATGCCTTTTAAGCACGAAATTTGCCCCCTAGCCCTGAACCCTTCAGGCCTTTAGGGTTCAATGGATCGAGGCTTGGGGGTTTCAGTGGTAACCCGGATCGTACCCTTAAGTCTAGTATCCTCGTAACCCGGACAGTGCCCTTGAAAGTAAGTGAAGGAACAGATATTTTTCGCATAATGCAAGCCGCTGTGAATTGGATTCCGGCACAGGTTTGTATTGCATTACGTAGTCAGAACGATACCCTCAACCCTTGAAGGTCCTCATCGTACCCCGCATAGCAAGCCCTGCGTCTTCTTGGGCGACTTGCTGTTGGACAGTCAGCTCATGAGGATACCATGTGAAATCATTCCTGTTCATTGCCTTAAATGCCACTGTTTCATGCTGCTGGTTGATGCGAATGGGCTTCCGAGAGCCCTAAGTCTTCGAGCAGACACCCCAACAAAGTAATACATTTTCGGGTTCAGGGTTTCGGGTTTAGCGTAGTGTTCTTTGAAGTCGGACTGACTTCCACACAACAAGCATGACATGCTTTCCCTTCATAACTTTGTGACGAACCATCAACTGACAACGAAGCCTACGACAGCTTCTTCAAACTCCGGGCAGCATTTCAAAACCCACAGGATAACGGGAAGACTCTCTTTAGAACGAAGTCGTGGAATGGATGTGTTGTCGAGCAGGTGTTGGAATTTCTGCCTTCTCAGCTTCATTGACGTTGGTTGATGTATGTTGTTTTCATGTTTTGAATCCTGCACGCCTCTGCTTTGTGTTTACTAGTTTGGCGTGTTGGTGTTTGCTGATGTTGTTGATATTGTGCCTTGTTTGAAACAGTCTTTTGCTGTTTAGAATGTGTTTACTGACTTATTTCGATGTTTTGCATTTTCGGATTGTTCTGATGTTCTGGAATTTGTTGGACTTGTTCCATTGTTTGGATTTGTTCGATCTTTTGGCATGATGTGGGTGTTTCGCGGTTGCCACACTTTGGAAATGTTCTGGAGTTACTTCAACTTTCTGCTCCTGTTCGAATGAAAGATGGGCCAGTGTGTTCAAGCTCTTGGAAAGTTTGGGGTGTCTTTGGGAGTGTACGTTGGACGTCGTTTGTTGTGTTTACTCCTAGTTCATGGTGGTGAGTTTCTTTATGTTCGGTGTCTGTTTCGTGTGGGTTTTGGTTGTTGTTGTGATTGACTATTTTTGCCTTGCCGGATCTTCTTCTCGAAGTGTGCTGAACTTGCAGTGATGTTCCTTCTGCAGTTTCTGCATCTTGCTGAATGCTTCGCCCAGGCATAGACATGCCAGTTTGACATACCCGAATCCCTAAACCCCGAGCTGAACGGAGGTCCAACACTACACACGCCTTGATTTCCGAGCTCGGTGTTCGATTGCCGGTCCAGGGTCTGCTCAAAACCGAAAAATCTTAGGGTGTAGGGTTTAGGCAAACCTAACCATCCCAACGCCTTAACCCGACCACCGCGGACATTTGGTTTTCCGACTAGGGGTGTTGAACTTTCGGGTTCTGCCGGTTAAGTCGCTTGCCCGATGCCACGACGGAACCGTTGTGGTGCCAAGTAATTTAACCCTCATAGAAGCCTCACAGTACTCATTATCATGCCGCTTATGATGTAGTGAACCTTCTGGTGACCATATTAACCCTAAACCCTAGACCCTAAACCCTTATAGCCTTGAAACCCTATACACCCTTAGAGCTGAGCACCCATAGAAATTCTGCTTTATAGAGCACCCACCACCTGCTCCAGGATCTTTTCCCGGTCGGAGATCTGCGTCTTTGTTGCATCCGGTGAAAAAAGGGCGAAGGCAGCAGTTCAGGAATTGGGGTTGGGGAGTTTAGGGTTTAGGGTTTAGGTAGGATTTAGGGTTTGGGGGTTTAGAGTTTAGGTGCGAGAGTGCTTCTGCGAGTTGTTTTTCGATGTTGCCTCATCAGCGCACCTATAAACCCTAAACCGGGTCTCTCAGATCTACCGAGCATCGCAATAGCTTCGAGACTTTCAGTGAGGTAATCTCAGTTTCGCGAGGACTGCTTTTGTTGATCGACCGCCCACCATTGGAGCCGAGGCTTTTCACCGTAGTCTTTGCGCTGGATGTTATCGTGCGAATAGCTGTTCTTCGCTGGTCTTTCTGGAAGGTGCCCCGGGCAGAGCTTAGCTTCTGTTTCGCATGATGACGTCATGGCATGCAGTTGCCGTGCATGTGTCCTCATTGCTGGAAAGAGAAGTGATAAAGCGAGCCGGGCGCCTGCGAGACATGCCACGTGCCACACGTTAAGGTCAAGATGAACTACCTCGACGTGGCGGTTACCGTCATCTCTATCGTCGAAGTGGTCGTTGTGTACTCGTCCCCAACGCTGCTTGCCACTTGGCGCCAAGGTGCTCTGCCGAAGACGCTGAAAATCGACTGCTGAGCCGGTTTCGTTGTGTCTGTAAAGCGGTCAGATTCTTAGTAAGTGTCTTCATGGACAGGGCCTTTCCAATGCTTGAGCCACCAAGCCTTTACGCACCGCAGAGAACATTCGAGAACTCCAGGCGGAAAATCTCAAAGTCGCGCAGGGCGCTACTGTCCCTGCCAAAACCCTCAAAGCCCTGTAGCCGCCCTGCATCCGAGGAGGACGTGAATGTCAACCCGGTTCTATTTCGACTCCTTCGCCTGGGCAAGCTAGCCAGGGCGGTGCGGATGGTGACGATGAACAGCGTCGCTCGCATGAAGTGTGTGACCCCACCGGATTTGTATTGGTTCAATATGTCGTGTTGCATCTCACCGTCTCACATGCCGGGCTCAGCATGTAGAGGCTTTATCAATTTTCCGTTTGAGGTCTTACATGCGGGAATTGTTAGAGTTGTTGCATTGCGGATCTACGTACCCCACCATAACTAGTAGCTAGGCAGGTCATGGTTCGGGGCACGGTTTGGCCATGAGCAAACCATATTACAGCTGATTGCCTGAAATCCGTGTATTTGGTGCGGTCCTGGTCGTGAAGTTCTCCAACAGAGCTTGCTTTGGCATCTCAATGCAGACTGACATGGGGGACTCTCAAAATTCACGAGACTTTCCCTAGGCGACTCGGGCGGATATTCTGAACCACTCACACAGCCAAGGTGCTCAATTCCTTGCAGATCTTGACCAGGACACCAGGGATGAGTGAGGGCTTAGGTTTCAGCTGAAGCTTGGAGCACCGCAGCCAGGCCATCTGCGACACAAATGTTGCTGAATCGATGCAAGCTAGGTGAGATACCCCTCAACTTTAAACCCTAAACCCCTAAACCCCTACACTCGAAACTGTCCTTGGGTCTAAGAGGCCCCCAGGTGCACCCATTGGAGTTCAGCCTTGACAGACCCTGCATTGAAAGGCCTTGTGCTTAGAACTCATACAATCCCTGCACCCTGTTCCCTAACCCTACTCGCTCAGCATTAACCCCTAGTCCCTAAATCCTAAACCCTATTGAAAAACGATGATTTCTTGCAGGTGCTTGGCCTCAAGCACCACGATGCTGTTTTGGAGCTTCTGCCTGCTTACTTTCTTCCAGCGACTCACCTTATCATATGCCCTATAGTACCCCTTCTCGTACCCCGGTAACCCTTTGCGTACGCGTTGTAGTAACGCTTATGGTAACCCTTATAGTGAGCCTTATAGTAACCCTTGTATTAACTCGTACAGAAACCCTGTCGGCACGCATGTTGTATTCAGGCAGTGTCCCAGAGTTTCCTTGGCAACGGCCTGCATGATTCTGGGCTAGGGTTGCTCGATGTGCGGGCTTCGATCTTACATCGGAAGCCCGAAGCCCTAAGCCTGACATGCTGAAATTAGGCAGAGATCGAAGCCCGTCAGCTCTTCAATCTCTTGACCCGATTCCTTGAGTCCTCACGTTATGCCCCTGCACCTACCTCGGCTGCGGCTGCGGTTGCTGCTGCTGATGTTTCCGCTCCCGCTGCCCCTACTGCACTGCTAGTCGGTACTGCTGCTGCTAAAGCCACTGCTGCTGCTCCTTGCTTCTGTGGTTTGACTATTTTTCGTTTTCGTCGCCGCTGCCGCCATCGTAGTAGTGCAAGATCGCTATATGGCTACGGCCGGCTGAGGTGTGTTTTTGGCATGGTGGCCAGCACACTCTGCCGAGATTTCATCACCGATGAGACGCAGAATCTGCATTATCGATGCTCGACAGGTTTAGGTTTCTGGTGCATTTGTGGCTTTAGGCGTTGTTGTCTTCGAGGGGGTGGGGGTTCGGGTCGTTTGGGGCTTAGGGTGTCTAGGGTTTAGTTATTTGGTTTGTTTCGTTTTGTCCTTTTTAGGCGCTTCGGGGCCCTATCGGGTCCTTGTTTGCAAAGGTGCTCGAGGCGTAAGGCCTAGGGCTCCAGAAGCCCAAAGCTTAGCCCTGGGCCCTGGATCCCCGCCCCTCAAACTCATCAAAGATCAATGGAAGTCCTCGTAGGGCAGTGAAATCCTGGGTGAAAAGTCCGACTTCTGCCTCTGCCATGAGAGCGCAGATGGATGGGAGCCCAGACACGCCGAGGAGAAGAAGTCTTCCTCTACTTTGGGACCTTCTCTCGCACCTTTCTCACAATGTTCCCTGGCATCTAAGACTGGCCTGGGTGTCAGAGGCTTTGGGTTTCGTTTCGGCGTGATGCCTGGTGGTTGTTATCCTTTCGTGTTTTCCAGGTTTGAAACCTTGGCGGTGGTAAACATTTGTGTTTTACCTGCTTGATGCCATGGGGTAGCCAACTTTCGTGATTTACAGCTTTGAAGCTGTGGGGGTGGTGAATTTTCGTGTTTTGCACATGTGAAGCCTAGGATAACCTTTCGTGCCTTCCAGGTTTGCAGCCTTAATAGTAGTAGGCTTTTGTCTGTCACGTGTTTGAAGCCGTGGGGGTAGGAAGCTTTTGGTCTTTCGGGGTTTATGCCACTGACACTGTGATATATATATATATATAGAGAGTGCGTCGGAATACAGGCC